CTAGAGTCTCATAAAAACCTGAAGTCAGGCTCTTTAGGAAGTTCTCTCCTCTTTTATTATATAGATAGCCCTGGGCTAACTCAATAAGCAGAGATAAGATACAGCAAAGTGGAAAAAGTAGAGGTAGACCGAACTATAGAAAAATGTTTTCATCTTCACTGCTCCTAGATGAAGAATTTTTGGGTTGAAATTAAGACTGAGGTCTTGGATACCTAATGAGGCAGAAATCACAAAAAATTTCAATTTCCAGTGGCAACACAAATTTTCATGCCAAAATTTGCTGGAAAGTCAGAGCAAACTTTTGAACGTATCTATTATTTTCATCTAGTCTATGGCAATGTAATATACTGGAGATATGATTATTTACCTAGCAGACCTATATACCAGTTCTAGCCTACTTTGTATTTCCCCCTAGAAAGCCATCAAATGCTGGGTAACATTTCTGAGCTGTGGCAAATAGCTGTGGTGTTCCAATGCCCCTCTGAATGCATTTAAGCACTGATAAAAAAAATATGTGAAAATTCGTCCTTTAAGAATTTCAGATTTAAAACATTGTTTTCTGTTACTCTTGACCAAACATTTCTTTAGTGTTTAGGCCTCTTGCACTGACAAAATTTCTCAGTGACTTCAACACATGAGCAACATCTGAGTTCATGATCAGGCAATAACAGTAACAGCAAAAAAGAGAGACTTTTGCATATTGGTGATGTGCTTCCCTTTGCTCAGATACAGAAGTCCTCACCCTGTGATTTGTATAATTGAAAGCTTTAAATCATTTTAGAGAACACTGTGCTTCACTGAGCACTTTTTACAGGGTTCTCAAGGCCTAAAGAATGCCCAGGTGAGAGAAAGGGGAGCTGATATCTTCCCATCATCAGAAATTAGGGATTGATTCTCCTCTACCTCACAGTTTAGCAGCTGAAGGACTCACAGGCTGCATAGAAGTCAGTTTCTTATTACTCTCTGTTTTAGTGAGAAGGACCTCTTACATTCATTAAGAACCACTGTGTTTTCATGCATGCTATCTTCACCCTTCTTTTGAAATTCAACCTTTTCACAAAAATAAAGTTCTTTCAGACTAGCTGACTCAAAGAAGGAGGAGGATATTTGGCTCTGCAGCCCACAGATGGCCTACAAAAATGAGGAATGATCCTTTTTCCATGCACTACATCACACTAAAGAGACACTGGATAAAACATCTGTCTACGCCAAGACAGAACAATGTAGATAATACATACGTCTGTCCATCTTACCATTGGCAAGTTTAAGCTCGTCCTGAGCTTTCTAAAGGAGTCATATGGGAGTCTAATGGCTTTTCTAAAGGAGTCATATGACTTATATGTATAACCAAGCTTATGTAATTGGCAGATATTAGGGATTCCTCACCTTATATGGGGATTGTGTTGAAATGCTTCCTTTGGAAGCTTCCTTAATTGCCTAATAATACAGACATTTAATGCTTGGATCAATCTCCATCTCTTTCTTCCTACAAGACCTGTTGCTCACAATTAATCAACCCACGTCATTTTCTTATTAAAGCTGAACATGACTATAGTCTTCCCTTTAACAACTATCCAAGAGCACAATCATAGGGACTACCTTTAAACAGATATCTTTCACAGAGCAGTATCAATCAGGAAACCATTTACCAAAAAAACTGTAGTCTTTGAACATATCGAGATAAGGAACAGTGGAGAACAAGAATGCAAGATATAACCATGAGAGAATAGTTGTCCCCCTCCTATTTTTAGAATTATTATATAATCCAGAAAGATAAATAAATATGCTCCATTAGTCTCTCTTGAGAAAACATTTTCAGGCTGCTTAGATATATACAGAGACATTCATTTAATATGTTGCATGTTATTTCTTTCTCTTGTTCACACTTCTCTAAGACTAGAAAACCAGAAGTTCAAGGGTCAAAGGAAAGGCAGGCACAAACCCTATCATTAATGCAAGGGATTTCAGTTTAAGAAGTCACGTCACTGCACTAGGAAGTGGATGCAGGCTCCTCAGCTGCAGCCCCTGATGGAGAAATGAGAGCACACTAGCGGGTTTTGGGGAGCTGGAGAGGAGTGGGTGGGTATGCTGGCTCTGCTGCTGCCTCCCACTGATCCTACTCCATGACTGCTGTGGTATCTGAATACTGTGGATGCTCAGTGGCTCTCTGTGTTTTTCGGTAGCACTTAAGGGGGAGATGTAGGCAGAGCCAGCTGCTCTGATACTCCTTCCCCTTTTGATGTTGGGTGAAGAGGAAAGTGGGCTCTGCCCAGCTGCTGCATTCAGATGAGGAGGAAAGAAACTCCAAACAGCTGCAGCTTCTCATCTTGCAAGTTTGGGTCTTCTAGGCGAGCTTGCTACATTGCAAGTGTGGATGCATGAAGGGACCACTTGTGCAGAGCAAGTGTACACCTGCTATTCTGATACACAAAACCTTATGCCAGGAGTTGACAGAAAGAAGTTATGTGGGAGGAAGGTGTACAGGTCACTGACCACGAATGGGCACTGAGAACTAGATTAGTTAGTGATGGATCTCTAGTTAGCAGTTCAGCGATAAAATGCCAGGGCCACACTTTCTTTTCCTACATGAAAATTGTCTGTTCTCAGTATTTGGACAAATATAGACCTGTATGGCTTTTCCAAAAAAAATTATTGCATCTAGCCCTCTCTTTCAAGAGCTCACTGTGACCCTCCCATCATTATCCTGTTGTTTTCAGGACAAGGGTGAAAATATAGAGTGTGTTTTCATGGTTGAGTTTAGTTGCTATAAAAAGATAAGCCATTAACAAAAAGCAAAGATGGTTTTGAAACGTGTTATGACAGTACTGCAAGAAACTTTTACATTCCTTGCAAAGGAAGCAAACATTTTTTGCTCGTAGTTGCACAAAGTGTATTTCCCAAAAGACTGATAAACATTAAAATGATAAAAATGAACAAAAAAAGGGGGAAATCATCAGAAGTTGCAAGATTGGTTTCAGTAAGTTCTGTTATTTGTTTTTTAAAAAAAATCAATGTGATTTCCTCTTACTCTTCCCCTCACTGAAAATCACACATCAAAAGCCAAACAGTATAGATGTTCAATGTAGCTCAGCACTGATATAGCAAGTACATAAATTAAATTAAATAATTTATAATTAAATATAAATATAAATATAAATATAAATATAATATAATTAAATAAATAAATTAAATTACAGGTATAAATATACATCCTTTTTATTTTGCTGTTGAAAAAATGCAAGTTAGTCTGGACTACCATATGATATGCTGTTTGTGCCTTTCTGTGGGATATAATTAAGAACAAACTGTAGCATCTGGGGGACTTGTGCTTTTGAAAAACATAACAAATTTGAATAAACCAAAAGGGAAGATTTTAAAGGTGCCATATACCCATCTTCTCACTGTGGGGAGTTGAACAGGCCTTTTCCCAGCTGTCTGGTTAAGTTGCTCTTTTGTAGGTTGGTTTTCACAAGTCCCTGCAAACCTGCTTTGAGATACAGTGCATGGCTGTGTAACCATCAGAGAACTGACAGTCAGGGTGAGGAGAGGAGTTTATTATTTTCAGTAATTCTTTATGTTGCTATGTCTCTATTTTATATATATATATATACACATACACATAATGTTTTTAAAATAAATGTTTAGATATTTGCAAGTTTTATATGTTTAATTTCTTATCTGTTATACGCTATGTAAATATGGGTTGCATACATATGCAAAAATAAACTTTATAACTGTAAAATATAATACAAGCTATCATTCACACTAAAATCATAGATGACTGTAAATTTTCATTTCAGGAACACAACTGAAAGAACACATTTCCACATCTGTCTTCTTTTTCTTCCGAAGTAAAATTTCAGTACAACAATATGAAACACTTTTAATTCAGATAGAAAAATATTTGTAAACAGAAAATGGTTAATGGTTAAATTAAGGCATCTACCTAGATCTTTAGACCATCAGATGTATGTATAGTTCAAAGATGAAGGAGCTAAGCAATACATTCCAAGCTTTCCTTCCTACTTTATTGCTTCAGTCATTACTGGAACATGTTCATATCAAGTGTAATTAGATTTAAGTTCTTTGATTCTCATGCAATAACACCAGTTTATATCATCTAAGAACACCTGAGCTAAGGTATATTCTGCTTATCAAATTATATAAAGCTTGTGTTTGTTTAAAATTCATTACATTCTAATACTATTTAAGTACTGCTTAATTATTTTTATTTTAAATAAAAAGATGTATGAAAGACCCCAAAAAACTTGTGTAATTCTGATTTAGATTCAAAAAAAAGGCAGAAAAATTGTCACGATTTCAGGAAATCCTCTGTTAGCTTGGTTTACTTGTTACTGTACAACTAAGTCTAAGGTAATGTCAAGATAAAATAGAGAAATGTGTCTTCCCAGTTAAGTTTTGCAGTTACTGGCATGCATTTTCTGGATTTGTCCTTGTATGGCAAACTGGGTCATCAGAAACCAATTCTGGAAATTAATATATCTACATTACTGTATACAATTCCCAAGGACATCTGGCATTAAAATGCTGAGCAAAAAATATTAATTTCTGTAATTTTATGATAGGTGTCATCTGCAAGTTACAGTATGAATTAGTTCATAAAAGTATGCAGTAGGCAAAATTTATTCAACTGATAAAATCATTAAACGACTGATTGATGTTCATGTAAATATCTGGAACTATTTCAACATATAATTACAATGTATCTACAAGACCTTACATATACATATAAAAGATGTTTTAGCATTTAACATTTTTACAAAATTTGTTTTCAGTGTAGCTTAGATGTTAGGGTAATTAACAGAATACCTCAGATTTTGTTTATGAGACCTAACTGTAGTATGTGGCATTTTAAGTAAAAAATTAAACATTCAAAAGTTGGTAAGCTTTAGAAAACAGTAGAACAGAGTTTGAAAATAAAGCTTTTATTTACAGTTTTAAATTCTACTTCATTGCATTACAAATAGTTTGAAATAAAAGAAATTTAGTTAAATATAAATATTGTAGAAAATGAACCTGATCTCTGCAAGAAGCTGAGGTAGTCACATCGAGACACAGTAAGATATCAAGGACCTGACTGCAGTCCATGAATCTTTGCTATTCTGGAGGAAACTGCCTGCACAGCAATATTTACATGATAAATTGTAACTCAACAGCGTACATCCTCCCTTTTCTGTTCATAGACACATGATTTATTCTTTCTCTTTTAAAAATTTTTGATGCATACCATGAAGAACAAAATTTCACAACTGGAGAAGCAGCTACAAAAGCAAGCACTTCTAATATAAGGAGATACAGTAAAGCAGTATATTATCACTATGAAAATGAACAGTATGCTGTCTGGCCTTTGTGAAACAAAGACCATTAGGAGACAAATATCTTAATTTTCTTTTCATTTGAGAATAGTAATGATGTAGTTTGCACTACAAAAGCGCAAGGACTGAATCTCAGCTGTTGAAATTGTGCCATGGAACAGCTCTTGTTCTCTCCCCTAACATGAAAATGGGACTTACTTAAATCCTACATATAAAAACCAACTATAATCCGAAATCTTAACTCCATAAATCATTAGACATTTACATCAAATATTTAGCCTGCTCATAAGATCATAAGTTCTTGGAAAGAACCTATCTGGAATCAGATAATACAGACTTGCATCTTTCTTCTTGCGTTTCTACTTGTGATAATATTTTCTATTCAGCCTCTGCACATACTCATCAGGATCTTACATATCATTTCCTCATACCTTCTGAATTATGCAGGTTTTATAACATCACATACATGTCATCATTCACTACATTCTGGGGGACAGCAAAAGAAACTGTATTATTGAATGTTGGCATCAGGCGGGCATTCTGAGTTGTTTTGGGACTATTATTTCCAGTTGCTCCTGAAAAGCTGAAGATTTTTTCCCTAGGTTCCTGATTGTCACTTTTCTTCTTGTCTGTTTGCTGGTTTTCTTCCTCGATGATGCATTCTAGCTCTTCATATTCCAATTTGGTTTGTACTACTGCATGATCAGTTTTATCTATCCATTCCTAGGAGAATGAAAAGGTTGATATTGGCAGGTTCTAAGTGGTCAATCAAAAGAAACCTGTCTGTATAGACCTGGATTTTCCTTTAAACAATGGCATCTTTCCAGGGATAGCCACAATGGAGAAGATGAAAAGGGAGTAACATACAGAAGCAGAAAACATAATGCAAGGAACCGAGAAAGACAAGAAGAAAGACTGTTTTCCGCAAGTAAATACAAGATCCTGTGACTTACAGAGAACACATTAAACCATAAAATCATAGAATCATAGGGTATGCTGAGTTAGAAATGACCCACAAAGATCACAGAATTATAGAACATAGAATTGCTTAAGATGGAAAGGGTGTTCATGGGTTCATGGATCCTTCCATGACGCAGATCCATGCCATTCCCTCAGGTTCTGTTGCTGTTGTCAGAGAACTCAGTGTCTTTGGAAAACCTGGGATGTGTAAAATACCCTATATTCTTTCCTTGGTGGACTCACACATTCTTTGACCCAAGTCCTCATCTACTCTAAATTCAGACTAAATTTATATGGAGAGTTATGCAATATAGTATTGTGGATTAAAGCTTCAGTATGGATTAAAGCTGTCATTAGAAGGAATGTATGCAAATGCCACTCTGGCATCTCCCCAGATATTGTGCCTCTGGACATCCTTAAATTTTCTTCTGAAATTTTTCTCTCACTTTCTGTAACAACTCCTCTTATGCAGTACCAAAGCAGTATTACAGTGCTGATCTGTTGATGCTGCATAGGGGGAAGGGCTTTTCTCTTGGGTCAGAGGACATCTGAAGCAACATCAACCCAAAACATGTGTTGGTAGCTGCTTTCAGATTACTCACAGCATTGCAAAGTTCATAGATTTGTTTGCTAGGAAGGAAATGTTTACCTGGAAGTTTCCACTATGATCATTGAAGAGATCAGTAAATATATATTTTGGATCTGGTATAGTAGGCATAACAGATTTTTGAAGTCTGCAAAGAGAAAAAAAAGGTGTTCTATTATGGTGTTGTCATTCGCACAAACATCTACTTCAACACATTGCTGAAGCCACAGATAAGATCTGCGTGTCAGTATCCTTGGCTTCTTGTAAATATGTGTCAACATCAAAAAATAGTATTGTTGCATTACTACAATAAAACAATCATCTGATGAGATTTATGCAGTATAACAGAATGATATGCCTAGTAAAATCTGGAATACACGCAAACTTGCAGCTGGGCAGCCAGCAGTGTTCTGCTCTATGTACTAGTCAAAGCTTTACTGTGTTGGCTGAGTTAGTAAATACAAATGTAAACACAGAGAAAAAAAAAAATTATAATCTGGAAAGGTAAATATTCTACAGTAGTAGTAAGCAGTGAAATTATACTTACCTCTGCCATTTACACAGAAGGATCAAGAGGATAAATATTATTAGAAGTACTGCCATCAAACAACTTAAAAGAATTACTGTGTTTGACTGGGTTTTCATTTCATCATCACATGAATCTAGGAATAAGCAGAAGAAAGCAAGTGAAAATTTTATTGTTTGCTCTAGCAGGAAATATTCCTAACCATGCTAGAACATTGACTTCTCCTATTAATAAAAAAAAAATAGAATAAAAATTTAGGAACAAATATAAAAAAAAATCAGTTCTTCTTTTGAAACTGAAAAGAAAAGCTATCTTTCCCCAAACTGTGCAACAAAATAAAATCATGTTTGTTTTTTTTTTTATTGACCTGTTACAGAACAAAGGAAGGTGCATATGTGCAAAGAGTAGAAGCATTCAGAATGATGATTTTTATGTTCTCTCACTGCACTAAGGGTGATACAGCAGTTCTCTGCTACGGTGTGTCTTACATAGACCTACCTACAGCCTCCAGAGCTGCAACTAATTTTACATGTAAACTAAACATCTTATTTCCTACGATAAAAAGCTGTAACTGGACTTTGCACATAGCCTAGATTTCCCAAAATAAAACAAACAAACAAAAAATGCCACCACCACATATACCAAAGAAGCGCACAAAATGCGAGTGCTAACAACCAGAAAGTAACTAGTGACAGGATTCAACAGGTATGTATCTGAACCAATGAGTTTTTGCAGCTTTTGGCATTCTCAGTGTTTTTCCTGCAGCTTTTGTAAAGGCACCACAAAACTGTCCTTCCTCATACTGAACTTCTGCTCTTCAGATAAATGCTACGGAAACTTAAGTTAATTAAGTTAATTATTAGGACCAATCTATAAATAGTACTCCATAGTCACTCCTTTTCCTATGGCAGCCTGTTCCACCTGCTCGCTTCGTTTAGCCTGTCAGAAAGTCACAAGAAAAGTTGTGAACATCCAGTGAGACATTCAGAGGCTGAATTTTCTTGAGAACAGCTTTTGTCATGTCTTCCTGTGATATGGAGGCAATCACTCCTTGAAGTCCTGAAGTGGAATGCTTGCTCCATTTAGGAGGCTGTGCCAAGGTCACTTATGATAGAGGGACACTCAAAACAACTATTTGTCTGTCTTTTCTTCACTTGCCATCCACATACATGCCTGCTGATAGCCTCTGGTCTAATGTTGTGGGTAGGGCTGCCATGTTCTCACTTCTCAAAGGTACACATTGTCCTCTGTGTTTCTGAAAGACATTGTCTGCCACAGCAGAGGACAGCAGGTTCACAATCTGCATGGTGCAATAAACTTCTCTGGAAGTCAGCACTGTTCCTACCACTGGTGCACAAGTAGTACATTCTTATGCTCCAGGATTTGAGCCTAGCTTTGTGTATACTGATTTTCTTTGGGTGAGTTAGTTGTATCATAGAAAACTCAGGTCTGGGTAGAATGGACATTTGGGTGTCTCATAATTCCAACAAAGCCTAGTGGGTGGAATTCTGTGGTTAGATGATATGAATCATAGAATTTTTAAGGTTGGAAAAGACCTCTGAGATAATCTAGTCCAGCCATCATCCCCATTCATGTCCAGTAACCATGTCCTCAAATGCCACATCTGCACATTTCTTGAGCACCTCTGGGAATGACAATTCCACCACCTCCCTGGGCAGCCTGTATTCCCTTGAGATAGTGTACATTCAGTTTTACAATAAATCTGTTTTTTGTTTTGATAACCAATAGAAGTAGTTTCCACCAAAAGTCTAATTGAAACCAATTACATACAGTTAAATGGGTCTTCCTGGTGGGAAAGCAATGTTGTTAATGACTTTGCTCCCATTTCATGTTTCCCCCATTTTCAGCAAATATGAACACCAGACAGTTATAACTCTGGTCTTATAGCACTACTAGATGTATTTTAAAGCAATCAGTCTTAAAAAATTGAGCGTAAAGGTTTTTCTTAGAGTTCAAGTTTGATGTTAATGTATCATCTGTCACCAGAGTGCCTGCGTATGTTTATGTTTTACATAAATATGTAAATCCACATATATTTGTGTATGTGTGTATATTAATATATACACACAAAATATATACACAGCATGCAGCACATCACTGTCACCGGGGAATCCTAGACGCTACTGTAACACAAATAATAAGGACATTTTTAACTTTGTAGATAAATGCATAAATTTGTAGTGTTATGAATCATCAGGAACAAAGTTTCTTTGATAACAGAAGATGGAACATAGTGAAATATAAAACTGATTGCACATTCTGAACTTTTTTTGCAGTCACCTCTTAACAGTTTGCACTTAGACAATATATGAATATAGCACAGCTGTTACCTAATAATGTGCTATTCATCCAAAATGTTTCTGCTTCCCAGTCACTGCTGAAATCAACTACGTTGCAAGAGGGTACTATCCTCTTCAGTCTGACCCGAAAAGAATAGCATTTCCTTGGATCAAAGCCTTGCTCTCCAACTCTGCAACACTTAGAAGTTCTGGACTGAGAAGGAAGGTGTATAATTGTTAATTCCAGCTTTCAAGGCAGAATGCTTGAACATAACTCCACTATGATCATGACTAGAACAAGGAGTAGACCAAAACCTCAGAAATAAAATTTTGTTTCTCTGAATTCTGAGGAATTCTTCTTCTTGACCTATTCTTTCCCATTCATCCCCATTGTTCATTATTTGACAGTGAGCTAAAGAGCCTAACAGTCAACATACAGAGTACTATGTTACAGTTTCTGCTTACAGTATAAAAAAAGAAACTTTAATTCACAAAATATTTACATGTTCTACAGGTGCCTCGGTAGATTTAAGTCTGTGAAATAATATGTAAATAACAGCTAGCCAGAATAAATAAAAATCCTGTATCATCTTTTTTCTTTCCTTTTATTTCATGCTGTTTCTCTGTTAACTCTATTCAGCTTTCTGCTTTTATCTTCCTTTGCTGTTCGGTATTTATGAACTTCCCTTTACCTTGTCCCCAGTTCTTTGTGTAGCAAGTAGATATAACTCAAAATGTAAATGACTTCTGTATGGTAGACTTCTATGATCTGTATGGGAATTGTTGAATCACAACCTGAACCTCTGATTGATCATCTTTGGCAAGCAATGAGTCAACTGCAGGAGCACATGTGAAGGCAATTCACCTGTATGACCAGAAGGGATGGAGCCTGGCTCCACCTCTTCTAAACCCCCATTTAAGGGCTGACTGCCACTGAGGAGATTTCAATCTCTACTTTCTGGAGATTGCTCCCTTTGGAGTTTTTCCTGTGAGCCTGATTATCCCTTGATTATCCCTTTCCACCATGATAATCCTTCTAGTTATATGACCTGTAAAATACCAAGCTAACCACGCCGCTCTGTTAATTGTATATTTTGTTCATTGTACAGATTAAAAAAAAAATCCAATGGGGTTCTCCTACTAACTATTTTGAATGTAAAGGTGAGGAGAACAATCAGTAAACAACCAGGCTTTATATTTTATGGAGATAATATTTCCAGCTCCTTCCAACATTGATTGAACGTGCCATGTTCAACTCACTTGCCATCCTTTGTCGTATTTGCTTTTGTACTGAAGCTCAAGTCTCAAGCACTTCACACCTCTTTCTGGTTTATTACATGTAACAGTAACAGTGTCATCCTTCCAATTGAAGGTCACATTTTCTGGTCGATTGGGCTTTACTAAGGAAAAGAGAAAAAAAAAAAAAAAAAACATGCAATAGCCTCTTAAAAATATTTATTCTTAAATTAATTCCTTCCATCCCTCCATGTTTCCCTGAGTAGCAAGGTAGATATTCCTCTTACATGATGCACTTCTGCAGCTAACTTCCTTACTAAATGTCAAAATGTACCTCTATGACATTACTCGCCATTAGAGGTGTCACGTTTAAAGGTAGATGTCCTCCCGATTCAGGAAAATCCTGAAACTACTTAAAAAAGGACTCTGATCTTCTTCTTTCAGTTCCTTTGGTTTGAGAGCAATGAAGATTCTTCTGTATTGGAAAGGGATTGACAAATTCAGTACCACTAAACTTAAAAGACATATATTCATATTCTGGAGGAAGTGTGGGATACGCTGAGATATATGGCAAAAACACTGGGTGCAACTGAATCTATCCCTTGCTATTTTCAGATGGTCTAAGAGAATGCAATGGTTTGACCTATGTAATTGTGTAGTCTTTAATAGTGGGAAATAGTGTTGAGAAGAGTGCTACTTGCTTTCTCAGTCCTTGATTCCTTTTCATGTTATGAAGAAGCCTTGCCTTCCTAATTGTAAAACTGATGTCAGACTTCCATTATTTCTGCCTTGTTATCTAATGCTTTTGAATTAATTTTGGTATCAGTGGGAGTTTAATAGCCAAAATTCGGGAACCAGGCTGCAATTTTTCATAGTTTACCAAATGAGATACAAAAAAGTATTCTCAAAGTTAAATATTTTAACAGGTTTTTAGATTTATCTTTTTTTCTAAAACATTCATAATAAGCTCTAAATGTATATTTGGATGATAATGGCTTTTCCAGATTCTTTCTTACTGCCTTATTTTCTGCTTGGTATTTATTAGGAGGAAAAAAAAATCCTTCACTTTAAGCACTGTATCTATGTGCAACACCAGAAAATGTAAAAACAGGAACATAAAATCTCTTATAATAAGACTTGAAATTAACAAGTTGTATTTGTTTTCAGACATGAATATTGAGTAGGTCTACAATATGCCAATATATCCATAAATTTTATTTTGATTCTAATCTTGAAACTACATTTTGGAACAAATCTTGCTGTTCAAAGTAATCCCACCTAGTTACAGCTGCACATGATCCTATGTAACTATCAATGACAGAAAGGTATGAAATCAGCATCCATAATTCCAAATACTGATAGATTGCTTATTGTATACACTAACAGCATTTTATACAGACAGATAAATGATTTCTTCTCAGATTAAGCACAAATAGAGAATGAATGGGGACACCAGGACTATCAAAATATATAGTTTTGATTTTACATACTTACTATAGAAATCAGATTTCAGTCTTTTAGAAAAAAGCTCTTCACTTCCATTGCTGTTCATGATTGAGAAAGCAAGGGTGTATCCTTCTGTCTTAAAAAGACATCCTGAATTATAACCTTGTGTCAATAGATATGTGGGACATATTTTCCAGTATTTCTGCTTGCCGTCTTCGAATCTGGAAATTAAAAAATATCAGTGAACAGAAATACTCCTATCAGGACATAAAAGCTAATTCTTTTTTGCAACTATATTTTTCTTTGTTTTGTTTTCAGTGGTCGTACAAAGACAAATCCACATACAGAACTTGAAGAAGGAAATTTCATTATGATTTGAGGCAATTCATTGGCATGACCTCATTGACTTTCCAGTCCTTGGATTTGGTGCAGTCTAAAACTAACAAGTTTCCTTTGTGTTAGTTGTGTTAGCTTGTTTTGTTTTTCCTCTAAAAAGAGAATAGCTTATTCAAACTAATGTTTTCATAAGCCTTTTTTCAAGATTGTGCTGTTAGTTCTTTCATGTATATCAACTAGAAAAAGAAGGGAATGTGAAGCTTTATGACTACCTTCAACCAAAACATTGAGTTTCTGTTGCGTAAATAACATCTCTTATGCATATACAAAATATACATACTTAATATACATAATATACATACTGAAATATGCAGGAAAAACACTTTCAACAGTGTAATTAACATCAACATTTAGCAGAAAAAAAAAAAAAAGAAGGTTTCGTATCTATTATCACGTATTTATTATCATCGTATCCAGCGGAATAGGACAAAGGGGAATGGCTCCAAACTAAAAGAGGGGAAATTTATGTTAGATGTTAGGAAAAAATTATTTACTCAGAGGGTGATGAGACAATAGCACAAGCTGCCCAGAAAAGCTGTGAATGTCCCATCCCTGGAGGTGTTCAAGGCCAGGTTGGATGGGGCCCTGAGCAGCCTGATCTGGTGGGGGACAGCCCAGCCCATGGCAGAGAGTTGTAATTCAATGATCCCCTCCAGTCCAAGCTGTTCTATGCTTTATTACAGCTGATTATTCATCAGGTTTACGGGTTTATACAACTTTGTAGCAAGATATGAATATAAACAAACTTCCTCTTGAATGATTACAAAAATGTTAAGAAAGTTTAATTTATAGTTCAAAGACGACTTAAATAATTTTGGTATTTTAGCTTCCCAAAGTAAATTATTTAGGGAGAGAAGCATATGCATTATCAATACTCACATATAATAAAATGACACATTCTTGCCAGGGAATAGTTTTCTTGTTGCCCACGTGATCTGCATTTTCTCATTATTGAAATTGATTATTGTGGTGCTGATGGCATCTTTCTGACCTGTCCAGTATATTTACAGAGAATATAAATTCAGCACTAAGTGTGAGAAACTCCGTATTTATAGGCAATCGGTATTTCAAAGATGTTTATGCCATAGGCTCAGATAATCATTAAATATATATGTAAGAATATAATAGTATACATATTTATGTAACACTTATACATAGCATATATGTGACACGAACATGCCCAGAATGCAAGGAGACAGAATATAATACTCTAGAGAAACTGAAACTAGAATTTCAAAAGAGCAAAATGAAACCATGTGCAGCAAAATCAGAAAGAATGCAATGGTTCCTGGCCCAAAAGAAGCAGACTGTGCATGATGCCTAAATAACAAAGCCAGCTTTACTCCATAGTACCTGGTAAGATTTTCCTGCTGAAGAGATCTCTTTGGGCACCAATGCAACATGGATTCTCTGTGTAAATTCTGATCTTTACCACAAGAAACAAGGGCTCACAGCATAGATTTACAGCAGATGGATAGGGTAGACACACACAGGATACCTGAATAGATAAGCAAAACTAGGTGAACTATGCATTTAGTCTGAGTGGTCTTGGCCCGTTCCAGCTTATAGGCTTTCTCAAAGCAAAATAATTTGATGTTCCCTGGCTGCACATGGTTGTTGTTTTTTTTTTTTTCTTCTCCTGGCCTCCTCTTTGTTATAGCTCCTTCTGGGGACACAGGTGTTTTAATTTTGTGTCCAACAGGATTCCACAATTAAATGCTGAAGATAACTCTGACCTTGGAAAATGAGAAGCCAGAAAGAGTAGAATACCACAATAGCAATCTTTCAAGAAGAAAGACAAATGTATTTATTTTGAGTTCTATAAGATGTGAAATTATATTTAAATGAATAAAAAAAAAAAGAAAAGGAAAACAAAGAAAATATCAGTATCTAAGGAGAGACTATAAGAAGGAATGGGATAGATTCTTTAGCAGGGTCTGTTGTGATAGGAAGAGGGGAAATGGTTTCATAGTAAAAGAAGTGAGACTTATACTGGACATAAAGAAGCAGCTTTTTATGATCAGAGTAGTGAGGCATTGGCACAGGCTGTCCAGTGAGGAATTGGATGTCTGGTCTCCAGAGACATGCAAAATCAGGCTGGACAGAGCTCTGAACAACCTGATGTAGCTGTAGGTGTCCCTGTTCATTGCAGGGGAGTTGAACTAGATGACCTTTAAGGTCCTTTCATACTCAAATGGTTCTATGATTCTTTGAAAATATATCATGAATATTACATACAAGATTCTGAGGGTAAAATTTGCAGGCTCTTGTCTCCAGGCATGAAATGTCTGCCACTAAAAACTTCTGCAGGAACATTCCTACCTAGAGGAGAATAGAGGATTGATCCCTGTTTAAACATTTCTGATGACCTGTGTATTACAGTTAATGATCCTGAATATTCATCATAATCAGGCTTACATATTTTCCAGTTTGCTATACTTTTGCTCTGTAATCAACACTAAGAATGTTAAAAAGCTGTGTGGAAACACTTGGGTTCAAATAATTGTAATGTCTAACTATTTTCAAGGCTGCATCTCTGCTTAATAATTTTGTGATTAAAGCTTATCAAGACATTTTTGCATAGATGTCATCGTGTTCTTACATCATTCTCTTAAAATCTCTCTTAAAACACATGTGACAGAAATCCAAGAGCAAATGTAGCTGCAGATCCCTGCTACACTATTCACAGAGCTCTAAGAAAAAGAGTGAGTATTCCTCTGCAAGAGAAATTCTTGAACAGAAGTCCTCTGTTTCCTAACTAGTGGCTGCAGACTTGTTCTACACTGTTTTCTCAAACCAAAACTGTTATGTTTTTCTGAAGAATGGAGAAGTAAAAGTACTGAAACAAAACAGAACTTAAAAATTTTGAAAGCTGTCATAACATGGATTTTATCCAGACAACTTTATCTCTGTACAAGAAACTAGCCGTTGTCTCCTTACTTTCCAAGCCCCTCAGCAAGTCTTAGAGATCATCTTGTCTTTAACTGAAGCCACCAATATGATGGCAAAATGCCTGACAGTGGATTATTAGTCTGCAAGTATACTAACAAGTTTTAATTTTTATGAACTAAATATTTGCATGTGTGTGCTATGTAGTATATACAGTGTTATGATTATATTATGATGATCCATGAATATTTGTATGCAGATTTTCTATAAAAATAGCAAAATGTATACTTAGCATATTTGAATATATAATTATATATTCTCCATTAAGCAAAATTAGTTCTATTTAAAAAAAAAAAAAGAAATATTAGTGTACGGAACTAATTTTTATATGGAACTGTAACTCTTGGGTTTCTCAATGCATGTTTTTGGATGACAGAGAAGAATATCGATATGACTCCGGTCTGGCAGTGATTTATGAACAAACTTTGCACTTTCTGAGTAGTCCACTTGACTTCCCCAGTATTACTCAGAGCACACTATCTTAACATTCCATATAAATCAGATCCTTTTTCTGTTCAAAAGAAATACAAAACCAAACTGAACAAAAGAAGTTACATTTTATGATTTGGAACTCCGAGATTTTAACATTTAAATATAAACTCCAGTACCTAAAATGGAAGGTAATACATTATTGAAGATCTTCACAATAAATATAATGATGTAGTAGAAATGGAACTCAGAATGTAATGAACACTTGGTGACACGTATTTTTCCTATGTTCTATCTCTAAATGACTTCATCAGAAGTCTTAACATAATTTATAACTTTGAAATGCATTCAGCTATATAATATAGAAAAGTTTTTGAAAAAAACTTGTTATTAATAGTTGTGCTTCCACATCTCCAGTTAGTGCAATTTTTATACTATGCTTTCTAATTTAATGGGATTTGTAGTCTTATTACTGTGGCACAAGATGCCTCTTGTGTCAGTGAACAAAAAAAATTTATGTGCATCTTTTCAAAACATAGCATGTATATGTTGCATTATTTATATTTCCTTGCTTTTTCAACTTGAAAAGATGCAAATCCTGATTAAAGTTTTTAAAGTTTGATTTAAGTTGACATCAAACACTGAGGATATGAATAGGTTATGTAAAATAATGTTTCTTACTGATGATCTTTCCTTTGCCTTTAACAGGAAAGGTTTTTAGCTTCTTTCTTTATTTCATTTTACTATCTTTATTTTATGTTATTTTTAATCACCTACACTTAAGGACGCAGAATCATTCCTATCTTTTGTTAGTGGGAAGAGATACAGAGAAAGAGAGGAGCGAGGACTGTTCATCTCTTTTCCTTGATGAATCCAACTGTAATAACCTGGATTGTTCTCAGCTAATGTGCCAGATCTTTCACAGTAACTGCAATATTTTAAATCATGTTCCTATGGAGTACAGTATCACATTTAATTACTTTTTGTGTTAAGGGAATGGTTAGATAAAAGGTCAAAAATATAGCGAAAGGAGGCCTAGGAAGGGATGGCAAAAACTTTCTGTTCAAGGGTGACCTGTCAGTTTGTCTAGGAGGATAGATAACAGTATGTTGCAGAGTATAGAATGTGTACCAGCACTCTTGAACATCAGTCAGAAGGAATAATCAAGGTCTAAATATTCAGTAAAATCAGAGAGAAAATGGTAGGGCTCTACGCTGGACTTAATCTCACATATGCTATTGGACACTTGGTCTTGTTGGGAAAGAGAAGAATGGAAGATCTTGCTATAGTGTGTACAGAAAGTACTATTACAGATGAAGAAAAAGGAAATTACCTTGAGCAATGCATTATAAGGATGCAACCATGAGCAAGAACATGAGCAATTATAATCCACCTCCAAACCACTTTTCAAACTTCATTGCTAAGAAAATTTGCTATTGAAGGGGAACTTTGTTAAAAGCCCAAATGTCATGGAACAGATCAAAAAGGAAAAGAAAAAAAAATAGAATGTCAATCTGCAAAGATAACAGTGGAATGTACATGTACAGGAACAGTTGAAACCTCATTGAAGGCAAACAAAAAAGAAAAATCACTTTTGATTTCCTCACACTGATGAAACCTGATAAGTAACCACATGTTGAACTTACACATAGTGCAGTAGTTCTGTGTATAGAAACAAATGGAGAGAAATACCCAAAACTGAGCCTACACTCTAATTACTCATATATGAGAACAGTTTCATTTCATTAACTGGAACACATGCAAGTGAAAGTGCAAACTCTTGCACACAAGGTTTCTGAAATGTGTGCTCAAGGCTGACTGAGTAGAAAATTTATTTTCAATAGAATTAATAGGACAGCAACAGAAGGTTTTTATAGACATTTTGGAGCAAAGCATACTCCTTAAGTATAATTCTCATAACTCATCAAATTGATTAGTGCAGGGATTTTCTGTTTGTTTGGGATTTGATGTTGTTGTTATTTGGTTGATTTTGTGGTTTGGGTTTTTGGCTTTTTTTATTTGTATGTTTGTTTTCAGAAGAAGCTTGACAAACTATAGACATCACTATATTTTGCATTAAATAAGAACCAGAATGCTGACTTTCAGCTTTTGTCCCACAAAGTCATAGCATCTCAAGGCAGAATCAAGTCCCCTCACAAAAAAGCCAACAACTCACAGGAGCAATTAACTTTGAAGAATTAAACAGTGTTGCATTGCTGAAAAAAGTACTTATCATACATACAGCAGAACACAGAGTTGATTTATAGGTTGATAAGAGGAAGGGATAGCTTTAGAGTTCTCGAATGATGGGGTCCTTGTGATAAAATAATGAATGAGTATTAAGTTATCAGACTATATTTTGGGATTTTTTAGTGATTTCTTCAAGATTCTATTTATCTTTAGTGAACTACAAGTAACGGCACTGCAGTCAAACACATGAAACAGAGATGTTCTTGCATGTAGACACACAATGAGTTTTTAAAGCTTTTGTTAATTTTGCTTTTTAAAATTATTTTTACCTTGTTGTTTTCACAGGAACAAAATATTGCTGAATATTTCCCAACTTTCATTCTTCCACAATAGTAAGTGATGAAATCTTACCTGGAATTCATTTTATCCAACTTTTTTCAGTGAGAAAACTGTAGTCTGTTTCAGATTCAGTCCACTCTATCAGAATCTATGCATTCCTTGTATGGAAAATATTCTTGCTTAAAGATTTGAATATTTCTCTCTTTAACAGTAGACATAATCTTACAGAGTTCTTTCGTTTTTTTATTTAGAAAATTGGGTATATTTCTCTTACTCTCATCATCACTCTTGTTGTTTGTTTGTTTTTTTCTAAGAATCCATATTTACCTCTTTTGAATCTCAATTTCTGTTTTGTTGATTCTTTTTGGCAAAAAAAAAAAAAAAAGAATACTGTAACATATAAAGTAGGTTATCCACAGAAATATTAGTAATTAATATATCAATTTCTTAAATAAACATAAATGGATTTGAACTTACCAAATGATTGCGATAGAGTACCCACCAGGTTGACCAGTGTGAAGATCACTGAACATTCTTGAAAGATGAGTCTCATGGTTTGAATGACACAACAGACTGTAAAGAGATGAATAATTAGAATCCTCGGTCTTTACTATTTGATCACTTTATACAAGAGACGGGAGGGAACTAGAGGAAATGACTACAGGAAATTAAAAAATGACTATCTCTAGCAACAAACAAATCAGAAGTGTAGAACTTCACTATGCATACTTTCTTTGCAGTATGTAATAATAATAATAATAATAGAATAAATTCTCAGAATAAGACTGTCAATCTTATCAATACTTGCTTTGCTTTATCTTATCACGATACTACAGGTGATGACAACCATGATCCAAACAAGGATTATGTAGTTGTGAGTAGCAGTGACCATACCATACACCTGAGCACGCTGATCTCAGCACGCCTGGGGACCATAGGGTAGGTGGGGACCAAGCAGCCTGCCTCCTCCCCACTTACTAATAAGACCTTCTCCTGTCATTCCACATGCTTGGTGCACTTCACATGGCATTAGCTACCTCTGTCCACAGATCAGAGGCAGAATTAGTGGGCCTTCTGCGTCAGGGAAAGGTGGGCTGCCGGGGGTAAGGAGGCTGTTACACAAGAGGTAGCACTACAATGTATTTCCTCCTGCATTACCTGGACATCTATATGCTGCTATAGTCTTATCAGTTTTGTAACATCAGCAAAATCCCCAGCCAGATGATGTGGTACCAGTTTTGATCTGTCTGTTCATTTTTCTTGGGTTGGCTTCTTTCACTTATTTATCCATTACACATGCCAGGAAGATCTATTCAAATTTCAGCAAATCTTGGAAGCTCCAGTCACACATGCATTACTCTTTTGCCTTTCTAGTCCCTGCTTTGACCAAGTTCCTCTAAGGAGGCATTAATTCCTGGAATGAAAATAACAAGAAACAGATAATTGAAATACTGAACTGGGTTCAGTTATTTTTGCAGCTGATGACAAACAGCAGATTTGGAACTCAATGGCCAAATCTAGCGAAGCCTGTGCACCTCAGAACTTACTCTCATGCCAGAAGAGTTGCCCAACCACTCGCTCAAACAGATTCTGCTTTCTTGAATAAATCTGTGATTATCTGGTGTGATTTTTCTCCAAATATGAGTAATCCCAATCCATGAACTGAAAAGTTGTCTGTGGGCCTAGGGTTCTGCTCTCCCTGAGTTTACATCTCTAAATGTGTAATTGATTAACTTGCCCACATCCCCAGGGTCACTGCTCCTGTGAGGACAAGGTCAGAGTGTAAAAAAGTGTGCGTTCTCCTAATGGCTCTTACACAATGCAGCACTGGCATGTTTGGCCTGCAAAAAATGCTAACACTGCAACTTCACTCAGCAACAGTGAAAGAAAGCAATGAGAGTGAGCTGATAATCTGCAGTCAGTGTTTGTGATTGTGACTGCCAATAGAGACAAATGCAAAGAAGATACTCTGAGAAGTATGGTGCTTTTTTATTTATGGCCTGACCTTGAACTTCTGCAAGCCAAACAAAAGAAGTGCTTTTGTCATCAATTTGGACTTTATATTAAACTGCACAAGTAGCCGTTGGCCCTCTGCTGAGTCCTCTACCCATGATAGCTGCCCTCAGATGTTCTTCCTTCCTTTTTATACCTTTTAGTTTTTCAGTTCTTTTGTCATCATCACTGTGAATCAAGTCTTTGATCAACATGTAGTTCAGCAAAGCAAATCGTCTCAAGTTTATTTCTTCCTTCACCTAGAACATAAACAAACAATATCCTGTGAGCAACTTTCATTCGATATTTACTCTTGGCCTTGATCCACAAGATGACACACTAAAAATACATAGATAATCCCATTCTTACAATGATGATGCTTTTGACTTTTAACACTAGGAGGAGATAATGCCAGTGTGCTTAGAGTATGTGAAATAAAGAACAGAGAATCCTATAATGCCATGGTAAATCAGGTCAGTACACAAGAGTCAGATCAGCCTTTTATTCTCATAGCAGAATCTACTTCTCTTTGGTAATCTGCTGCAAACTGAAGTGCATGTAGAGATCTCCACTGTGCATTTCGGTGCCCATCTTTCACCCATGGGAAGCTTAGAGAATTAAAAGTCAAAGGTCTCTGGCATTTTAAAAAATCATGCTCTTGTACAGCCACTTCAGAACCTAGCAATGATGCCATCATAGCAGCTGTGAAACAGTGGGTCACCTCTGCTGGTGAAAATTTCTATGACTGCAGCATGCAAGCTCTTGTTCATCGCTGATGAAAATGTATAGTTAATCATGGTGACTATGTCAACAAATAATGTTTTGCAGCTGAGAATTACTCTATCAAACAGTGTTATTGTGCTCTTCATATCTATTGTAGTTTCTGTGGAAGTAAATAGGAGGCATTACTTTCAAAGACACTTATATATCTTCGAGCGTAAAGATTTGGTAAAATACAGCCAGGAAAGATGATAGGGCCACTGATACTGCAAACCATTTCCAAATATATGAAATCATGTTCAACAATCCTGATAACATTCTACTGCAAGGTCAGTTAGGGGAAAGAAGTGGGCACTTACTTTAATAAGGCATTTTAAACTCTCTCTCATAACATCATCATTGAAAAATCGACAATACACAGGCTGGATCAAATTTAGGTGGATTGAACACTGGCTGAACTAGAAGGGCCATTGGGTTGTGATTAATGGCATGAAGTTCAGTGGGAGGTGAGAAACTAGTGGTGTACCACAGGAGTCAGTAGTGTGACCAATAAAGATTAACATCTTTATGACTTTGATGCTGGGACAGGGTGCATCCTCAGCAAGTATTCAGATCATGTAAAACTGGCAGAAGTGGCTGATAAACCAAATGGTGCAGCCATTATGAGGGACCTGAAGAAGCTGGAGAATTGGGCAGAGAACTTCATGAACCTCAGGAAAATTAAATACAAAGTCCTGCATCTGAGAATGCAGAACAGCGAGGATCAGTTCATGTTGAGGTCTGATGTCAGTCCTTCTTTAGGGAGTGAACCTGAGAGTACTGATGGACAAGAAGATGAAAATGAGCCAGTAATGCAAAGATTGATGATCTCCTATACTACACTAGGCAGAGTATTGCCAGTAGGTTGAGGAAGGTGATTCTTCTTATTGTCTCAGATCTGGTGATACACATCTGGAGTGATGGGTCCAGTTCTAAGTTCACCGATACAAGAAAGACATAAATTCAATGGATCACGTTCAGTGAAAGCTCACACATACGATCAAGGGACAGGAGTGTATTTCATGCAAGAAAAGGTTTAGATATGAGACTATTTAGTGTAGAGAGGGCTCAAGGAGGTCGTAGCCATGTGGATAAAATAACTGATGGAGGGAGTAAAGAAGATGGATCCAAACTTCTCAGTGGTGACCTGTGACAGAACAAGAGATAATGGATACAAACTGAAAAAAATTATGAAATTCAATCTGAAGAAAATACTTTGTACTGTGAAGATGGTAAAAAAAAACAGTAATTGCTGAAAAAAAATGGCTGAAAATTCAATTGGACACAGTCCTGGGCAACTGATCAATCCCACTTGTGCAGAGGGCTAGACTAAATGTTTTCAAGGGATTCATCTCCAACTTCAATCATTCCATGTTGGTGGGGGAAAAAAAAAACAGAAACAAAAACAAAAAACAGGCAGTATCTCACCTCTGGATTTGCATATCTGAAATTCTAAAGCAACTCCTAAGCATGTTGTACAGCTAGTACAAAGAAGAGAGAGAAGATCTACAAGGTAAAGCAGAGGTAGGGAGCAATATTTGTAAGAGGTAAAACTGAAGAGGCTGATGGTTTGCAACTTGGAGAAAAGGCAACTGGGTGGAGAATTGGTAAAGGTCTAGAAGTTCATTAATAACGAAAAGGGAGTGACTGTTTGCCTTTTCTCACTACCTGTGGTTTCCTAAAAAATGCAATTATGAGACACCAAGAATTATCAGGTAATACTATTCCTGAAAATATATCTTTAACCAACGGACTGTGCTCCAGAGGGAGCAAATTACAGTTTTGCAAATGGTACTATATTTTTGACAGATATAGGAATGTTGATACAGCTAACAGGAGCTAAACAGGAAACAAGAGCAGGTAGATGGTGAATGAAAGAGGAAGGAGAGAAAACTACTTTTTCAGTTCACAAAAATAAAACCTGATATGATCAAAAAAGGAATGATCAGGAATCTGAAGTTTTTATCATTATTGATAGGAAAGAAAAATGAACTGCACAAATTGTGTCCTAGAGATAGAATATCAGATTATGATCAAGTAATGGACCAGTAAATTTTACTTCATAAATCCCACGCTGACAGTGTGGCATATTCAATCACAAAAACTGAACTAACTTTTCCTTCTTTCTTTCTCTGGGCAGATATGCAATAGCTACATCCAAGAACTTTGTATAGGGAGTCAAACCCATTTCTCTTAGACTGTCAAGTTGATCTCTCTGTTGCAAGAATTCACTCTGAAGAAGGACAGGGAGATTATTCTAGATGAAGCAAAGATTGAGCTGAATGTGTGTGTATGTGAGAAAACTGTCTTTCTAACTTTAAATGCAAGCAAGCATAATTATAGATTCCATGCATGATTGTTCTGCAGAAATGCATCACTGAAAAGCACTGAAGGTTTCCTGCTGCTTTGCATTCATTTAAATGATATCACTACAATCTGCTGAACAGCACTTACCTTCTGAACTTACTGGAAACTTTAAGCTTTCATTCACTCTCATGCACTGTCTGTTGAGCTAGTTGTAGTCACAGTAGGCATGTAGTTAAAAGTTTGAACTTGCCAAAAACACTGCAGAGAGCCATGCATAAAAACAGTCATTTTTACCAGCGCCATTCTCATTCAGCACTGTCCTATGCATGTGTCTCGTATTTAATTTCTTCTGGTGACAATGCCTATATCAAGAGAAGTGTAACACTGAAAAAGTACATAGGTACTGTTGCAGTAGATGAAGTCATACCATAAAAATTATTACAGATCGTAGTTAGTTTTGAAAAGTGAAGTATCCCAAAGTTTTTTCTAACTAGTCAAATGAAGAGAGCTGCTTAAGTCGAACCCTTTATTCATCTCCTTTTCTGTGCATCTGCTAAAGAACTTGATCACAGAGATATGAGCCCAAAAGGCAGGAAAAAGCTGCTTTTGGAATGAATTACACTTGAATCCACATTTAAGACTTCATTTTATATGCTAAAGAACATAGAAGGTGTCCACAGAATGAATCTGAGTGGTATAGAATTAAGGAAGAGGGCACCTTGGTACACGCCATGTTTGGAAGTTCTTAATTTTAATAAGGCTTTTTACTGACTTAAATGGCCACCATAGCTGAAGATGAGCAGCTTCAAGAATAAATCAGACACAAACAATCACTTAACGTAAAAAAATACATATATAAAAATGACTTATCCAAGTTATAAGGTGGTGAAATGGTGTAAGTGTAAGCAAAATAAATAGGAAGTATTGAACAGTTAGCATCTTGGAGAGGGTTACTAGTTCAATTAAAAAAATAATTCATTTCATGAGTCTACTCAGTCACATATTTTAAACTTTTTACCATATCATTCTGTTACATTTCCTGTTTTGATATGTGTATCTTTAAAAATATATGTAGTAAGTATCACAGGTTTTTTTCTTGCTAATATGTTTCTATCTTCCAGGAAAGAGAAGGATGGAATTAAGAATTCAGAAGTTGCTTTTTGGGATTATCTTAGATTTTTGAAGTATTCTGCATCAAATATACATTTAACCATCAGTCCCTTTTTTTCTTTTCTTTGTTTTCTCTTACCTACTTATGTTAATGTCACATGCGGGATCCTTCAACTACACACTAAAATACTGTCCTAGTTCCACATCTAGAGTGTAAGGATGACAATGTGAGTTTTATCATATGGTCAATTAAAAATCTGTAGAATACGGCAGAGTAATTGTGTACCTTTATTTAATTTATAATTTATGTATTTAATTACGTATGACAATAAGCAGTCTAAAGCTAGCCACCAGGGTCTCCAGTGCAAAAAGAAGATCCAATACAAAACCAGTAATCTTAAACCACTGAAAAGCTATTTCATCCCATGTATCTGCATGATGGAGGCAGGAGACCACACCAGGATGAGTCAGAGCATTACGTTATTTTCCAAGGGCTGAACTATGCTGAGATACATCCAAAAATACTTGAAAGGCACAATGGTGAAACACCAGTTTGAAATCAGGATGAAATGAGAAGAGTTAAATGGCTGTTTCTAGATAAGTGAGGTCTTGCTAGTTCATAAGCTCTCCTGTTAGTCACTTGGTGGCTGGGGCTGAAGTACCAAAACCTGACTTGCCTATTAAGTTGTGACAGAAATAGCATCGGTTCTGAATATAAAATGTTCTGTCCCATGTATGTGGAAACTGCATCAGCGCACTTGAGGCAGAGATTGATAACTGTCACTGTCACATTTTCACCTTCTGTGAGGCCATACCTGGAGTACTGTGTTCAGTTTTGGACCACTCACTACAAAAAAGACATTGAGGCCCTGGAGTGTGTTAAGAGAAGGGCAATGAAGCTGTGAGGGGTCTTGAGCACAGGGCTTATGGAGAGCAGCTGAGGGAGCTGGAATTGTTCAGTGTGCAAAAGAGGAGGTTCAGGGAAGACCTTATTGCTCTCTACAACTACCTGAAAGGAGATTGTGGTGGGGTGGGGGTCGGCCTCTTCTCCCAGTTAACATTAATAGAGTGGGAGGTAATGGTC